CAACTTATGCTTCCAATTACCTAGACAAACGCAATGGAAGTGGGAGTGGGTACCTGTCAAATTCAGGTACCAGCTCCCCAAAGGTGCCAATCCTTAATGGGGAGTGGGGGACAAGGTGCAAACCCAAGCACATGACATGCTGTAAGTCAACAATTCTGGATGCTTAGTTGATCACCATAGCATAAGAAAACTGGTGATGTAAGCAGGGGCAGAATGACCATTTGGAAACTCGGCACTGCCCGAGGGCCCGGGGTCAGTAGGGGGCCCCATGAGATGCCCCTGGTACCTTTTTCATAGGCTTTTTTGAGTTTGGGCAAGGACACAGGGCCCCATGATCCCCTATTGCCCGGGGGCCCCATGAGTTGTCAGTCCGCCCCTGGATGTAAGCGATAATATTTAAAACTTCAGTTTAAGAGGGCTGTGCTGTATACAGCATACATATTATTCAAAATTAGGGCTACAGAGAAAAACAGAAATGCCTTATATTACAATATACTAAAACAAGTACAATAAAATAATGCACAATAAAAAATAATATTTAACATATGCCTAAGGCTTTCCAATTGTCTCTAATTTTTACACTGTTCAAGGACACAGAAAGCATTCTCACTTTCTGTTTCTTTTGTGACATGGTATTGCAAAAACTGTTTCATCTTCAATATACTGGATGAAATTCAAATATTATTATGCTAATTTCTGCATATTTTCTCACATGAATTTACAAAATGAATTAGCAGGCAAGGCTCTTAAAGTACTTCTGGAGAAAAAGACATTGCAGTTCATTTGTCAAGTGACTGTATTTATAACTCATGAACATGAAAAAATTAAAAGCAAGAAAAATTACATTATTTTGAAAGTTGATACTTTGCCCAGCTCTAAATTAATTTCTATAGCACTTATGTGCATGTGTATCTTTAATGCAAACAGAAAGAGTCAATATTATCTGCAATGCCAACATTGGGGCACAGCTCATAAATTGATGATGCAGCTTTGAATGCTACTCTAATAATACAAAACTCTGATAGTTGGTGCTTTTATTGTAGAGAAATATGTAATAATTGCAATATTAATTTGTGTAAAATAAACTTAAAGCTGAACTTCACCATAAAGGGGAAATTCCGCTTTATGCCATTCTATGCCCTCCACTTCTATTTTTCGTACTCTTTTTGGTGAGGGAGTGGGTACTTGGTTTTGACAGGTATACATTCCCACTTCTGCAGGGATCACTGTGGCAATTCACCAAAAGTCCCCCCCCACACACACACACAACCTTCTGAGACACAAAGAGCAGCACAGCTTGCGCATGCTCAGAGGGCAGCTAGATGTGAAGCTACAAGGAATTTCATAGTAAGCATGCTGGAGCCGGAGACCCAAAGACCTGCAAAGAACTAGTTCGGGGGAGGACAGGGTTGAATCCCTGGACAAGTGAGCGTCCTTTTATTAAAAGTCAGCAGCTAGAGTATTTGTAACTACTGGCTTTTATTTTTTTTTCAAACAGGGAGAACTGCTTTAAAATAAACCTGCAAATATGTGACCCTTCGTGAACAGGTTAGTTTAGCTGCCGAAGGGAGGTGGGAGGTTTGGTTGGAACTTGCATGTAGATTAGAAAAGGTTCAACTAGAGTTTAGAGGTGTCAGGATCCCCTTGCAAGTTAGCTGGAAGTTCTATGTGAAATTCGCTTTTACATAATATTGATAATGATCATATGGATGTTTTCTATACTGTGCAACATTTTACAATGACGAAGGCATAGATTTACTGATTTCAACTGACCTTACAGTGAGGCAGGCAAAAACAACAATGCATATCTGTTATATTTATTCCATTTAGTTATCCGTTTATTGATATTTTTATTGATTTATATACCTATTCTGGTTTGATACACATCTACATACGAGAGGATACTCACCTCAGTTACATCCTTTTTTAGCCTTGATATCTTTTTTAGCCTCCCCTTTCTCCCCTTTTTTCCATTTGTATTATTCATGTATTCCTACCTATATAGAATATCTCTTATGATTGGACTTTTTGTGGGTTTACAGCAAAAAAATATATATTTTTTGTGTTGTTTTTAGCTTTTTCCCTTATATGATTTTAAATTCTGTGGTTATACCCACACAATTTCTTTTATGTACATTCTGCATCTTATGCTGATTTTCATGTTGATTTTATACGCAGTCCTGTTTATTTATATCACCACTTATTTACCGTATTTTTCGCTCCATAAGACGCACCGGACCATAAGACGCACCTAGGTTTTAGAGGCGAAAAACAAGAAAAAAAATATTCTGAACCAATGGACTGCAGACATAGTACAGGGGATGAGCAGAGACTGCGGACACAGTACAGGAGATGACCAGAGACTGCGGACATAGTACAGGAGATGACCAGAGACTGCGGACATAGTACAGGGAAAATACCAGGGACACAGTACAGTTGACCAGAGACTGCAGACAGTGCAGGGAATAACCAGAGACTGCAGACAGTGCAGGGAATGACCAGAGACTGCTGACCTTTGGGGGAGGGAGAATTGACAGGTACCCGCTCCCACTTCCGCGGAGTTGTCCTTCCCTCTTCTTCCCGCGCCGCCTTCTGTGACAGCCGGGTGCCCACTGCGCATGCGCAAGAAGTGCTGCGCTTTGTGAATGGCCCGGTGCCTTGTGGGACCTGTTATGTGTCCCAGAAGACACCGGACCATTCACAAAGCGCAGCGCATGCGCAGTGGGCACCCGGCTGTCACAGAAGCCAGCGCGGGAAGACTGTGCAGCGCTGGAGCGAGGAACAGGTAAGGTCCTGCAGGAGAGAACAGCTGAGCGGCCGGCCCGGTATTCTGACATGGTGGCGGCAGAAATACCGGACCGGCCACTTTATATTCGCTCCATAAGACGCACTGACATTTTCCCCCCTTTTTTTTTGGGGGAAAAAAGTGCGTCTTATGGAGCGAAAAATACGGTATATCACCACTGCACCACCATGTATGCAAGGACTATGCATTTTTAGCACGATGCAATTTTTATATATATCATTTTTTACAGCAAATGGTCAATTTCTACAGGATAATCTTTTATAATTTATTTATTATCATGCCTTCTGATCGGGATCATATTGCGTTTTAGTTCCGCATATTGACATTCTAATATGATTTTCCTTATACTCATTAACTTAGTTTTACTATTTTTTGTTGGTATTTCATTTCATTAATTTTTTTAGGTGCTGATCAGCCTGGGATACTTTTTCTGTTTTAGTACTACAATAATATGGTGACAGTCACAGGTTGCCTTTATTTTACTTTTGGCTACAGCAATATGGCATTTATCATATTTTTGGGTCATGTATACACACTTGTATATATGACCTTTCATCCTTCTATATGTTGGGTCACCATAATCATTTGTATATAAAGTCTTTCATTCATGTAATATGTTAGGTCATCATCTTTATCTTATTGTTACTTGATTTGGGCTTCATCCCAGGTTGATGTGTATTGGCGCCTGGCTGAGCGCACGCTCAGGGCTAAATAAGGGCTTGTGTATGGCGTCAGTGGGTAGGTGGATTCCTTTGAAAACGTGTGTGAGCACGAAACATGTCAGGGAGGAGCCTGCACATTAGTGTCTGGCCACCGTGTCTGCATGATGGTCCAGCGGCCATTTTGTGAGTGGTTTTATACTACTATTTGTTTTACTCCACGTGGATATCTTCAATTTTCAATAAAAGTACTACACTAGTAGCTGTTTTTCTCTGGGCTCTTTCTGTGAGCTGATTTCTTCAGGACCTGTGCCATGGCTTACTTTTGTGGATCGATTGCTGAGCTGGAGATATTCCCTAATCTGATGCATCTCAGCTTCCACTTGCCTGTGCCGGATGTGAATATAGCCTGACTTGCCTGCAAAGGAGGATGTTACATTTTCTGTTCTGCATATTTTTTATGCACTTCTGGTGAGTGCATATAAAAAGTCTTTTTCACAGATTCATTGATCACTGGAAGTCACAATCTGCATTTGGATTCATTCATTATTTGGACTCTATATTTGTCTGCATTGATTATTTGATTATTTGTATACTCATTCCACTACAGTCACCATTTATAGTCACCATTACACTGTTCCTCCAGTGCGTCACTTTATTCACAATACTTTGATTATACCATTAGTGCACTTCAGTGCAATGATTGCATATATTTATTTGTCACCATAGCGCCGGTCAGAGCGCTTCCCTGCATTTATCTATCTATTTTGTGTATTTCATTTTTTAGTCACCCAGTGTATGTTTATTATTTATATTTAATTTTTTGGGTATGTTTAACATACTGCTCCTTTCCATTAGCGCTGCACTTTTTTTACACTATTTACACTATTCGCATGTCTGTTATAGGTTAGCTAATTTACAAATCTCTGAAACCTTTCTCTGGAGACAGATCAAAACAGTAAGAAAACCTTTTCTTGCCTAACACATTGAGCACAATAAAAATAAATTATTTGCAACAATGTTCACCCCAGCACTTGCAATTCACAAGTGCTGACGTCACCAGCAGGATTTTTAACATGCAATTTTTGATGGTGCTATGTAAGTGCAATAAGTTTTATTAAAGAGGTTTCAATTAACATGAGGGGTGACAAAAGGGTTAACTGTGTGCTTTTGTACTTGTGTTCGTGTGTCTGTGCTTCACTGTAATCACACTGCTTTGCACAGCCACCCAATGCAGTGTGCATGAGCTGACAGGGAGGAGAACTGTATTGTTTACATACAGTCCTCCTCCCTGTCGGAGATGCTTGGCAATCACCGGGTGCCGGCGAGTAATTACTGGCCAGGACCCGGTGACTGACAGCTGCGGACGCGAATGGCGGCGTGGGTAGGGGGCAAAATGCAAAATCACATATATATATATGTGATTTTGTGCACCCGTACTGCCCTGTAGCAGTATATCTGCTATAGGGTGGTCGGGAAGTGGTTAACCCCTTCCTGCCCAGTGCCATCAGTACAGTGTCAGTGCTTTTTTTTTAGCACTGAACACTATATTGGTGTCACTGGGGATGTCAATGACACCAAGTCAGTTCCCCCCAGTGTCAGAATGCCCGCCGCAGTCCTGTAGTCCTGCTATAAGTCACTGATCACCGCCATTACTAGTGAAAAAAAAATCCAGTATCTATAACACCATTTGTAAATGCTAAAACTTTCACGTAAATCATTTAATTTACACGTATTGGAATTTTTTTTTAGCAAGACGTAGCAGAATACATTTTGGCCTACATTTATGATGACATTTGATTTTTTAAATGGACATGTTTAATAGCAAAAAGTCAAAAATATTGTTTTTTTCTCAAAATTGTTAGTCTTTTTTTATAACGCAAAAAAATAAGAACCGCACAGGTGATTAAATACCACCAAAATAAAGCTCAATTCGTAGGAAAAAAAAGGACGTAAATTTAATTTGGGTACAGCGCTGCATGATCGTGCAATTAACAGTTAAAGTAACGCAAAAAAATGCCTGGTCAGGAAGGGGGGTAAATCCTCAGGAGGGCAAGTGGTTAATATTTCTTTCCTTTGAGCATTCATGGAAGGAAAGAGATCTATTGGAATAATCCATCGCTGGGTCCTTTCCTTATTTGGTTGGTTGATTTATGAGGCTTGACGTGAAAGGAGGTCTGGAGTCCATGAAATATACATCTTGTTTTGACTTCTCTGGCTAGAGGGTCAAAATCTTTTGGTAAGCGCATAATTATCTTTGGTGGTGGGATCACCTTGGATTCTCCTTGGAGATATTGGCGTTACAACAGTTTATAATTATTTATTGTTTGTTTATTGATATATATCAGGGGTCTCCAAACTTTATACACAAAGGGCCAGTTTATTATCCTTCAAACTTTAGGGGGGCTGGACTGTGGACACTGGGAGTAGAAAATGTCCCAGTATCAGTGGGAGCAAACAATGCCCCATTTTTGGTGCTGAGAGGAACTGTGCCCCATCCTTGTGTCACTGGGGAATCATGCCCCATCATTGGTGTCATTAGCAGGAAATGCGCCCCATCCTTGGTTATTTGGCCCAGTTGTTGGTGTCATTGAGCAGAACTGTGCCCCGCAGTTGGTTTCATTGGGTGGAACTGTGCCCCATCATTACAAGGAATTGTGCCCCATCATTGGTGTCATTGGAAGGAATTTTGCCCCATCATTGGTGTTATTGGACCCAATTGTTGGTGTCATTGGGCAGAACTGTGCCCCATCGTTGGCGTCATTGGGAGGAATTGTGCCCCATAAATGGCATCATTGGGAGGAATTGCGCCCCATAATTGGCATCAGTTGGGGGGAATTGTACCCCATCATTGGCATCATTGGGAGGGAGTGCACCCCTTCATTGGTGTCAGTTGGGGGGAATTATGCCCCATTGCTAGTGTCAGTGGATGAAATAGTGCTCCAAGGGCCAGATAAAAGCAAGCAAAGGGCCACATCTGGCCCCTGGACCACAGTTTGGAGACCATTGATATATATCATCATTTTTTGTGTACATTTAATTTTAGCACAGGTTGGTTACTAGCGCAACAGATTTATATACAGCCAGTAAAATAAGTATTGAACACGTCACCATTTTTCTCGGTAAATATATTTCTAAAAGTGCTATTGACATGAAATTTTCAAGACATGTCCATAACAACCCATACAATCCATACATACAAAGAAACCAAAACAAATAAGTAATGTGTAATAAAATGGAATGACACAGGGAAAAAGTATTGAACATGCTAACTGAAATGTATTTAATACAACGTTCAAAATCCTTTGTTGGTAATGACAGCTTCAAGATGCCTCCTCTATGGAGAAACTAGTCGCATGCATTGCTGAGTTGTGATTTTGTCCCATTCTTCTACACAAACAGTCTTCAAATCTTGAAGGTTCAGTGGGCCTCTTCTATGAACTCTGATCTTTAGTTTTTTCCATAGATTTTCTGTTGGATTCAAGTCAGAGGGCTGGCTTTCTTTTCTTTCTTTGAAACTAATTGAGACTTTCCTTGGCTTTGTGTTTGGGATCATTGTCTTGCTGAAATGTCCACCCTTGTTTCATCTTCATTTTCCTGGTAGATGGCAGCAGATTCCATTCATCCTTCCTTCAGTGATATAAAGTTTGCCAGCAAAATATGCTGAAAAACAGCCCCACGCCATGATGTTCCCACCTTCAAACATCACTGTTGTATGGTGTTTTTGGGGTGAAACATAGTGTGTATGATGGCATCCAAAGAGTTCAATTTTGGTCTCATCTGACCAGACTATAATCTCCCAGTATTTCACAGACATGTCTAAATGTTATGCTGCAAACTCTAAACAAGCTTCAGCATACTTTTTCTTCAGCAATGAAGTCTTGCGTGGAGAGTGTGCATACAGGCTATGGTGGTTGAGTGCATTACTTATTGTTTTCTTTGAAACAATTGTACCTGCTAATCCAGGTCTTTCTGAAGCTCTCCACAAGTGGTCATTGGCTCTTGGACAACTCCTATGATAATTCTTTTCACTCCTCTGTCAGAAATCTTGTGAGGAGCACTTGGTTGTAGCTGGTTTATGGTGAAATTATGTTCTTTCCACTTGCAGATTATGGCCCCAACAGTGCTTACTGGAACATTCAGGAGTTAAGAAATCCTTCTGTAACCAATGCCATCAGTATGTTTTGCAACAATAAGGTTGCAAAGGTCTTGAGAGAGCTCTTTACTTTTACCCATCATGAGATGTTTCTTGTGTAATGAGACACCTTTTTGTAGGCCATCAGTTGAGACTGAAACAACTGTTATTAATTTGCACTGACAAGGGGTAGAACTGCTTTCCAATTTCAGTTGGTGTCTTTGCTTTCCATGCCTTTTTGCACCTGCCTTTCTTCATGTGCCCAATACTTGTTCTCTGTGTCATTCCATTTTTGTTACACAAAGCTTTGTTTTTGAACTTTTTTTTAAAAAATGTTTTTGCATGTATGGATTGCCTGGGTTGTTACCGACATGCGGTAAAACTTTCATGTAAATGGCACCTTTAGAAATATATTCACTTAAAAAAAATGGTGACGTGTTCAATACTTATTTTATCCTCTGTAAATGATACTCTTGAACTGTGAAGTATATCTCATAGTATTGTTGCTGCTCTTAAACCCCGGTCACATCAAAGAAGATTTTAAAATCGAGCAACGTACCGTGAAGTCGCACGATTTCAAAGTAGGGTGACTTGCCAATTTGAGGTGCAATTTGCAAGACATCTGACACAGATGTCTATGCAAATCTCACCAAAAGTAGTGCACGCACTACTTTAGAAATCACACCGATATGACCGCTCTAATAGCGGACATAAGGGTGATACTTGGCATACGATTTGCAATGCCAAGTCGCACCCGATGTGATCAGGGGGCTAATGTATTTTTATTCACCTTAGATTTTTTCATATAAGCGCAACATTCATGTCTTTTAATAATTTACAACTTTCAGTGTTGCTAGCCCTTGTTTTCTCATTGATGCTTCTCTGAACTTCTGGTCTTCACAAGAAAGAGTTAACAGTGGCCAGTGGGAGTGGGAGACACTACTCTAGTTTCTGCATGCAAGGGTGGCTCCATAGTATGTTGCAAGACAAAGGATTAACCCTGAAATAGAGGCAACCCTGAAACCTGGGGCAACGGTCATGGCAACGGCTTAAACTGGAAGATAGGCAAGGATTAAAAGATAAAGTAGCTGCACACTCAGTAAGTGATTACATCATCCAATGAAAGTGCTTTAAAAAAGCTGAGGCTTTAATATCGCTTTAAGTGTACCTTCAACACACTTTTTTTTTTATTTGTTTGTTTAAGCCTTTACCCCATTACAGCACATGCATATTTCTCTATATCATACTGTATTTACTGTACATACTGCTTGCAAATCTACTCGGGGTATTTACTAAATGATAATCAATATATGTCACTTCTGTACTGCAGTTTTTTTGGGGAACCTAAGCCCTGAACACTCAATACTCCAGTTCCAGTATGCGCAGTACCTTTTTTCGAGCAAATACACATGAAACCTTTGCAGCATCTAGCTGTTGGTTGTTGAGACCAGGCTTTACGCTTGTGTATGTGAACTGAATGGACTTTTGTTTATTTTCAGCCAGACTATCTATGTAACTATATGTAACTATGTATGCTAGAAAAAAGGTATTTTAAGAGGAAACAAAACCCAATGACTTAACAATCTGCTTCTTATGCCTTCTGGCCTCACAATCTATTTCATATGCCTCAACAGTGTGACATTTTTTGATCAACAGACAGAGCAGAAATGGAAGTTCAGGATACTGGTGATATGTGTTCCAGGGAGTCCCCTGGGAGTCTTGAGCTCAGCTGCCTGAGCTTTCTTAAAGTCTAATTAAACTGATCCTGAACTGTCTTGCCCCACCCCTCTTCTGGCTTCCATTTTTACAAAACCTGTAAATATGCAGATGTGCGGTTGGTCTCTTGCAAGCATTTGGGAGCTGGAAGAGATCAGTTGCGCAGCATGCACCTCAGATTTCAGCACATGAGCACACATGCTGCCATCTTCTGGTCGATGAGCATATATACTGTAGCTCCCAAAGGCGTTTGTAAAGTTGTAGCTTAGTAACCCACTGCCTCCTGAGATAGTTAGTTATGTAAGTTGTTATGTGAGTTTAGTTCAACTTTAAAGATGTCCCACCACCAGATATGAGCAAAATTGAGAGTGTACATATTCCCAAATTTTAACAAAAATTATGTTGATATTTTGACTACATGACTACATACATTTGTAGTCAATAGGGAATGTAACACTGAAGTCATTTTTTGGGGTGGTTTTAAAGATGCAATGGGCATTAAATGGTTCCTGGGTGTTGTCACCTGCTATGCTAACTCTATGGCACCTATGATTGTACAGGCTGCAAAAAAAGTGAAAAAAATAAAGTAAAAAAATAAAGCAACCATACCAAAATAATTAAGTACAGAAGAACTTTGTTTTCTAAGCAACTTCCTTTGAGGTTTTTTTTTCTACAGCCACAGCATACACTTTCATGTTATAACATCACAATTGTAATAACAATAACAAAGCAAACATTATTTTTGACAATTCAGCATAAGATTACAGTACAGAGTTACATAGTCAGTCTGGTTGAAAAAACTCCATCCAGTTCAACCATTAAAAAAAATAAAGTTATTATTCTATACACACAGTTGATCCAAAGGAAGGCAAAAAAACCCGGCAAATGATCCAATTTGCTCCTGCAGGGAAAAAAAATCCTTTCTGAATCTCCTTTCATGGTGTGAGTGTTGTCTGCCTGCTTGTCATCTCTTTCTTTCCACAACTTCTCCTCTGATGTTTATTTTCTGTTTCTAAGGACTACATATCCCTTGGTATCTAAATGCAATCAGTGTTCCTCTTCTGCTGCAAGCAGTGTTTCCTCCTGAAACTCCTCCTCTGTAGTTCAACAGGGCATAGTAAATATATGTCACAGAATTCAAGTATATGTATGTGGATCTCCACAAAGAAAGTTTGCAAGCTTCAAGAACATTTAGATGAATAGGAGTATGTTAGAAATTCAAGTAATCAGAAATGGAAAATTAAAAGGTAATATTTATAGCTGTAAACAGCTCTGTCATTAGACATTATAAAATGTTTTTGGTAAGGCAAGAGTTTTTATGTTGTCTAGACCAGTGGTTGCCATCCTTTCGGACTTCACGGACCACTAAATTCATAATTTTAAATCCTGTGGACCACTAATATAATTTTTTTAAAAAATCAATACATTTGTAAAATAATGATCAGAGAACGTCCATTTTATTAATATAAAATGCACCTATTTAATATGACAAAATTATACATGCGTTTTTAACTATAACAAAATCGTAAATGCTTATTTAATGATAACAAAATCTTTAAAGGTTGTTTAATTATAACAAAATTATTAAAGTTAGTTTAACTATTACAAAATAACTGAAGCTTATTTAATTATTACACATTTTTAGTGTGATATTTGTTCCTGCGTGTTTGAAATAAGTTTATGGATTTTTGGCTCCAATGACATTACTGCAAAACGGAGAGCCGTTTTTATTTCAAGCCGAGACTGGTACTGACAATACTGAAGCATACGGCTCGGCAACGGTTGCCACATACAACTTAAGACTACCCTGACGTCACGCTGCCCCTCTCTTGTTTCCCCCTCTCTAGTACAGTTTGTG